CAATTACCACCTACAGGACTCAATAAATGTAAAGCTTCTTCAAATTTAATTTCGTGCGAGGCTGTACTCTGAGGAATCAAAGAACTCCGTCTCGGAAATGGAGATCCGAGCTTAGCATTACTATTTGATAAAAAGTAATTAGTGCCCGTAAAATTTGAAAGTATGCCGGATATATGTAATTTACCCACGCATGTAACTCCTGTGTATAATGTTATACCGTTTGACATATCTACAATTGCTATCATGTGCAAATTCTGGAAGAAATTATTTTTTATGTTATTATCAAGTTACATTAATCAATAAATATTTTATATTTCAAATAATATATATATATATATATATATATATATATAAAATGTTTTCCTTATTTTAAATATGCAAATAAATAATATATACTAACCGATAAATTAATAGCATCTTTAGCCACGATGTTCGTTACCATTCCGAAAATGATCTGTTGTTGTTTGTTAGTTTTTTCTAATCTCATTAGAGACAGTTGCGAACGATTTGGAATTAAATAGCCCAAATAATTCTGTCCAACAAGATCCGATGTTAAAAAAACCTTAGATGCACGACCACAAGTATCTCTAAAAAAAAATTAAAATAAAATTTTCCAATTTCTTCATTATTTAACAAATATTCTTAAATGTCTCCTTAAGCTTGGTGCAAACCGGGATAATATGTGTAACGTGAGATATGCGAATTACTTACTTGGATACACCAACATTCTCTGTCCATACATGTTCAAGACAGATCTCAGGATACAAAGGTTTGCTTGCAGTTGGAATATCTTTTAATCGGATGCTATTGTAACTGGGAGCTGGACTATATGTTTGATTTGAGCCAGTTATCATGACAGTTTGATGTAATCTGCTATGGTAAATATTTGAGTTTACAGGTGGTCCAAGTAGAGGGGACATAGCTACCGATTGCGTAGGTGATTGGCAGCGAGAAATGGTAGCCATCGAGCTTTGTGAACGTGAATGCTGTTGTTGAGGTGACGGTCCACCCGAATTAGTACTATAAGAGGTAGTACGCGATCCAAATGGAGTATTAGGCAATCCTAAACCAGAGTTATTTATTTGTAAGCTTGACACTCCTGCAACAAATACATTTCATTTATTTACATCAATTTTTCCTATCATTTACTTTGATCAAATTGTATAATTATAATTATTGTATAATTGTATTATTATATAATTGTTATTTAGCTTAACAAACGTCTCTATTTTCATTATGATATATTAATTAACTAAATTTAATTTTTTCATGTACATGCACATGTATATTTTCATTAAAATATGTGGATATTTCTTTACCAAAAAGGAAGGGACTTAGAGGACCCTTATTGAAACTTTTATTAGCAGATAAATTGCTGCCAACATTTAATGGCGACATCATTGAATGATTGAATAAACTCATCGTATCGTTACTTCCACAAACTATTTGGCATTCTTCGGCTGATGCTTTGCGTATTTTGTAAACCGAATGCAAACCTGTCTTCGTATTATATATCATAGCAAAAGATGGCTCTGAGTTAGTAAATATAATCTGCTGATTTGAGTCGTTCATGTACGACACAGACCCTAAAATATTTAGTTCAATTGTATAAGCAATAAAAATTAATTAAAACATTTCGTATAAGTCACGCAAATGCACGAGATATTTTTTACAATGCATGTTATTATTTGTATTTAATTTTATAAATAAACTATTTTATTTACCATGTTTAATAAGTAGAGGACAAATTTCATCTAACGGATGCATTAATGAAAAGGCCACTGGTAAATTATTATCATGTTGTGTTGGTAATCTGCTACTTTCAAATGATACATATCTGAAAATAAAATGCATGAACGTAAACACGATGCAATTCGAATTTTGTCAATTATCAATAAAATATAAGAATGTAGGATATAAATTATTGAATTTTGTTTAATTTTTAGATAAATTATATATACCTCGAATCTGTAATTGGCACTTGAGATTTTTCAAGTATAATCCCATATTTTGTCGGCCATACGGCAGAAACCTGTTATCAATTGATATATTTAAAATTATATGGCAAGTTAATATAAACTTTTATAATTCTTTCACATGAGCATTAAAAAATACATTAATGAAAGTACTTCCCATCACTTGTAAAACGCTACGAATTAATTCCAACACCTAATATAATAATTTTTTTGTAAATGACTTCTAATTCAAGGAACAACAATAATCATTTTTATGAATGTTAGTTAGCTTTGTCTTTAATAAGTTAAAATAAAATAAAATTCAATATTATCATAATAAAATTAAGTCCTTTTGATATTTGCTCTCATTTTAAACATTTCATTTTATGATTCGCTCAAAGATTACAATGCAAAAAAATACAATGTCATCACATGCATCTTCACTTTCGGCTACATATTTTATCTTTACAAAAAAGAAAAAAAGAAGTGCTTTACCTGAAATTGTAAAGCAGAAACATAGTCTTCGCCATTTTCTGTAAAAACTTTAAGAGTATATGAGTCTAGCAAGCAAATACATTCTATAGATTTCTCAATCGAATCGTTAGCTTCAGATTCTTTACTTTTGGTCAAGTGATCTGGGGTACTGGTATAAAAAGTACACCAAAGTGCATGCTTAATATCAGTTTCACATGTATAGGTTGCTTTGAGCACTCGAGTAGTTTGATTGCCTTTACAGTGAACTGCTACTTTGCCCGAATAATATAATTCTTCCTCCCCACATATTTTATTACTGCGTACCAACCATGTCTCTTTCTAGAAATAAGACATTTATCATTAAATATCATTTTGAAAAGACTTTGCATGGAGAAAAATAAATTGCGAGAGAACGGATGTTAAGAAGACACGAGTTATCTTCATATTAGATTTAATTTTTTATTACATTAGCAAAATAATTTTCAAATTAATATGTATATAATGTGTATGTAACCAGAAACATATTTTGAAGCAGAGATAACATTGCTAATTATAAACATAAATTTTCAAACCCGTTCTCTCCTCTTTACTGCATAGTTATTCATTTTGAAATCTTACAGGAGACTTTTCTGATATATTTACTTCGCTAAATCTTTTTAATAGAACATTTTCTCCACCAACCGTTCGAGTATTAGATTGCTGATTGATGAGGGATCCAGGATGTTTTAAAATTATCTCCCGACCACCTGGCTTGTATTCCTTAAAGAAATATTAAGCTTTTATATTATCAATTATTTTATATAATCTTTACTGAGTTTTCATAGCAGATCATTAAGCCTCTTTTCATTTTATATTAAATAGCGTAACTGTTATTCATGTCATAAATCAGATATAAGAATATTCATTCAATATTATATTTTAAAAGGTTAACTCTATACAGACAAATCGCTAACAAGTCAAGCAAAGATAAAAAATAAAGATAAAATATTACTTGAGTTGAAAAAGATATAACTCAGAGACATAATTCAGAGACATTTTGATTTTTTATCTACATTGACAATGAGATGTTAGATCTGAAATAAGAGACAATAATCATGTGCCTCTGTGTTATGCCATGATATTTCCTTGAAATAAAATGCTTTGTTTGTATCCATTATTAGCTACAGGTTCCCGATTGCATTAGTATAGGAAAAATAAATAAATAATTGTAACAATCTACTTTACCACCGGTTCTGAGGCGGCGATCATCCTCTCCCTGGTCTCATCCAGATTTGCTGGCTGTGTTTACAGATATCGCGAGGGAACAATACCCACTAAACTTTGGTCTCTTCCTATACAGCGTCGCGTGCAAACGATAGAAGGAAACGTGACGAAAATACTCGAAAAACACTCAACGAAACACGAAAAATACTCAAAAAATCATGTACGAACGTGAACCACACCATCTTTAAACAATACCGCTTCGGGTATCCATGTCAGCATGTATGTGTACATATTTTTGCGAGGCTGTGTTCGGAAAACACAACAGTTGGATTAGCATCTGAAAAGACAATTCACCGAACGCAACTAATGAACACTGCGCGCGTCAAAAAATTTATTCTTTCTTGAAAATTAAGATATAATCTTTAATTAATGTCTATATTTTTATATTTATTAAGTATTTAAATTATCCACAATTTATATTACAATTTATTTATAACTTATTTATAATTTATATTATTCCTTTTTTCTTCCTTTTTAAAAATTCTAATTAAAATAAAAACTTATTCAAGTTTTTTCAATTTATTATACGTTCTAAATAATGATTATCGATTCGTAAATTTCGATAGATATTTAAGCATTAATTTTTTATTGTCAATTTATAACCTTAAATTGTTTTGAATAATCAATTATCTAAAATATCGAAATCTTCGAAATTGATAGAATTTCAAATTTTAAATAAATCTTTTATCTTTCAAATTTTAAATAAAAATAAAAATACATCAATAATTAAAAGTTACATAATCAATATTCATATCTGAGAGGTTTCTCTTTGTTCATATAAAAAAATTGAGGATTGTGTGAATTGGAAATCAGAATTCAATCAGTCAAAATGAAGAAGACTAATGTCAACGTTATTCAATTGGTCAAAATTTATTTTCCAACTTGCAATCACTTACAATCTTTGAACATACATCTGATACGAGCTTGATAAAAGGTTCTTGTACTTTCTGAAAGGTGCACATGATGTAAATAAGTTGAAATGAAATAGACATATATTTATTTCACTTCAACTTATTGTACCGCGTACATCAGTTCAGAGAGTGCAGGAATAAAAAAACAGTTAAAATTAATCCAAATACGGTAATCGCTAAGGTTAGGTTATCTTCTTCTTAACAACTAATTAAGAAAAGGATAACACGAACTTCAGCATTTATCGTATCCTGGATTCACGTTATTGCAAAAATTTTCTAATAACAAGTGCAGGTGCGGAGTGCAATAAATCGTGAGCTGTGAGGTCGCTGCGCGCTTTTCCTCAATTTACACTTTGCAGAGAGCTCGTTCCGCTCGTTACGTTTTTTCCCCATTTGTCGTTTTCCTTGTTACCCACGAACGCGTGTGTTTGCGATTCACAATAAATGGCTGGCTCGCTAGGCACGATCGATTGGGAAGGTAAGAGTGCCTGAGGACGTAACGAGACTTGCGAGTACCGTTAGACGTTTAAGGAAAAGGAATAATACTCTGATATTTGTGTTCTTTGTGTACGTTGTTATAGATGGTCAGAGGAGTGTTCCAAAAATGCAGGACCATGTTCTGTACGTCATCCTAGATAATGACGTAATCTCCTCTGTGCCATTCGTGTTTCCACATTGCATTATTTGTGATCCACAAACAATCGTGATGTGACATTAGGCTTATTCTTTTTCTATATAAGGATTGAACTTCTTGCATGGTACATTTTTCTTTTTCTTCTTTTCATATCGACTGTGTGTTCCAAAATTTACTGCCAGTATTGAAAATTTGCATATAACATAAACTATACAATTTTCAATACTGGCAGTAAATTTAATTGAAACACAGCCCTTGAAGAAAAAAAAACAAAAGAACTATTTCAAAAGTTCAGTCTTGGAGTATAAAAAAAAGAACTGATTTATAATAGTGTTCTAAGAAGCATGCTTCTTACTCTTAATGATTTTTCTTTTTATGCTTCGTATTTAGAAATTGTTGTTTAGGTCTAGTTGCACCAATGTTACTTTGATTTTAAGCGAGGTTTAAAACTCTATTCTATCTCTCCTACTCTCTCGACTTTAAAGAGAGAAAGTGAGTTTTAAGCCTTGCTTAAAGTCGAAGTAAGAGATCATGCCTTAATTATATGAATCACTGTTGCAGATCTGAGGAAGCAGGCGAGGCATCTGGAAAATGAGATCGATGCGAAGCTAGTGGCGTTCAGCAAGCTGGGCATAAATACAGGTACAAGACATGCCACTACAGAAGAGGTTCCTCTCTTAGATGAGGAACAGGTATTTGAGAACATGGCGTCAGAGATTGAGACACTGCTCGCCAAGGTAGATCCTTCTTTTTTCTTCTTTTATGTTTGCAAACAAACAGATATACTGATCAAATATAATCGACGTAGTTGTTTTCCATAAACGAGAGGATGAGCGAGTTGCAGCCAAATGGAGCAGCTATGTTACACACGATGCAACGCCACAAGGAAATATTGAAAGACTACAAGCTGGAGTTCAACAAGATTAGAAATAATTTTACGGCTAGGAAAGACCGCGAGGATCTTTTAGGCAGTGTCCGTAAGGAAATAGAGTACGTATAATTGTCCATTGTTTATTTTGTATATTGTATATCTCAGATTTTATATCGAAAGAAATTAAATTAATTCTTATATTCGTTTTATATGTATAGCAATTACAAAAGTGCAACTGGATTGAATCGGCGCGAAATGTATCTTAAGGAAAATCAACATATTCATAAGTAAGTCAGCTTGACCTTGTTAATAATGTTGTGATAAATAAAGTTAAAAGATATGTTTTAATTTTTTTAAAAATATGAAATTTGGGTCATGGAAAGATGTTAAACAGCTGTCATTTTCGAACATATTTATTTACATATGTTTTGTTAAATTTTATCCTTTAAAAATTACATTTTCCATTTTTAACATAATTTTTGTTGTTTCGTTAATAGAATACATTAAAAAATGACAGCTAATTAGTTTTAATACTTTTCCGTGAGAGACCTGTACTTATATTAAAAAGTTCTTAAGATATATTTATACTTATATAACATTATCATGTATCTTTTTAGTTCCGACCGATTGATCAATGATCAAATAAGCATAGCGATGGAAACACGGGATCATCTCATGACTCAAAGACAGGCGTTCAAACGTATACGAACTCGATTCAACGATATCTCGAATCGATTTCCAGCAGTGAATAGTCTACTGCAGAGGATAAATCTACGTAAGAGAAGAGATTCTGTTATACTCGGCCTCGTTATTGGAGTTTGTACGTTTTTAATGCTTCTGTATGCCTTTCACTAGACGATACAAAGATACTTCCATCTCCAAATAACGATTATTTCACCACGGAAATTTTTGCAATACGTTTCACAGTAAAGATATACATACGTTTAAAAGATACTATGGAGATTTAATAAATATGTAGGAAGTTTAGTATGATAGAATATGCGAGATTGTATGTGTGCGTGAATGATTGAGCAAGTGTTCCTTCCACTTGCGTTCAAAGTGCACGAAAAGAAGTTTGTCTGTATAGTTTTTTTTATACCGAAGTACAAGACGTGGGAGTATATAATGTAAGTGAAACTTTCATCCACGTTCGACTCGTTAACTTAATAAATGTTAAAATATGATAGTCTTTGTTTGTAATAACGCTAATTGTATGGATGTATTGATTTTCCGAATTCTGGAAACAGAATAAGATGACATCGTGATTTATTTATGTACGTATTTTTTGTGGCGATTAATTTTTTTTCTAAGAAAAGGTTTTGGTGGGCAAGGGATTTGCACATTTTGCGGTAAAATTATTATATTTCGTACCTGTATAAACCAATAGTTTTGCATTCTACGTCATTTAACACACTTGATGATAACAATAAAAAGGAAAGAATGTATGCTGATTTAGCAGTTTTTCGTTATGAAAAAAAAGTTTAGCGTTGATCAATCACTTCGATAAAACGCAGAATAGGGGATCTTTAAAAAGAGCTTTCGGAGCGAAAATGGTGAGTATCTTCGTCGTTTCGGGTAAGAATTGATTTTACATATACAGACATTTATATGCATATATACACACAGTACATTCTTGAGTCATCCGCGAAAACACAGCACGGAAAAAAAATGTTTTCACTAGAAAGCACGATGCCTGTTTCCACGTGTACTAGATACTACATTTATAAGTCTCCTCTAGAAAATAGGAACTCAAGCGAGATATAATTGTAAAAAAAAAATATCAAACACAAAATGCGTTCCGTACACACTAAAGTTTCGCCTCTCTTTTACAGCCTCGATGTATATTTACATATATAACTTCATCAGAGCTTCCTATAAATTACTTTATGACTTTCTGTATAAAATCCTGCTCCTGAATTTTTAATTGCTATCGCGGATTGTGAAACCGAGCTCTGAATTGAACGCGGTTAATATCTTCGAATCGCATCTACTGCTTCCCATATTTCATTAAAGTAATGCAGTAATAATATATCACGCCTTACAAATAATCAATAGCTAAAGGAATTAAATCTATGATAAGTCTCGCTCTAACAATAAATATCGCATTTCCCTTCGTTCTTTCTTCATTCGTTACAAAAAGGGGTTTTTTACCGATAGTTGTATAGATAATTTACAATCGGATGTTATTCTCCCCTCTGTCAATCTCCTTTATAAATGTAATATATAGTCGTTATCTGTGGAAAACCACGCGGTTGTTTTCACTACGTAACTACCGCGGGACGATTTACGATGGAGATAACTATGGAAACAGGTGGATGACGAATCTCTTTCTTTCTCTCATACACAAACGCATCATTCGCACGTTCTTAAGAGTTAAATCTAAAACGAGGGATTCTAATCACGGATTGATTCTATTCAACTGTTCGGATAGTATTCTACGCTCTAAATCTGCATCTTTGAAGTTTTATTATACCATTAGAGATAATAAATCGCGAGGCCCATATCATCGTCACTCGTTCTTCTTTGAATCTCGTTCAGACGTACAAACGGACACAAACAATCTACATCCAATATACATGCAGGCCGCACTGGTTGCTAGTTTATGTATCTGAATATAAATATATCGGCTGTATGTACTATTTTTTTCAATCTAATTCTTTTTTCTTTTTTTATGTTTTAAGGCTAATTAGTATAGGTGGAGATCGTCGAGAGACGAGGCGTGGTGTCTTAAATAATTCCGATAAATATCTCGTTGAGGTATATAGGAAGCCACCAGACTCTACGATTCTGTTTCAATTTTTTATAAAATCATATAAGAAAATACAGTAAACAAAGAAAAATGTATGGCTCAATTGTCCGAGAGAAATTCCAATTTTATGTAAAATTATATAATTTAGAAATGTATTACGAATATATATCAATATAGAATATTTTCTTATTTTAATTTAAAAATAATACTTGCCTGTATCAAGAATGTGACTTTTGTTACAGTATATTCAATGATATGTAGAATGTAGGACAAAACAGACACATAATTAAATCAGACATAATAAAAATCCATTTTTTAACTGATTCGTATTGTCATAATAAAAAAAAGAAAATAAACGTATAACTTGGCACTTGTATACTATTATAATAAGAAAATTCATGGAAGTATCTTCGACTGATTTTTTTTGACTATAATTTTGAATATATTGTTTTCTAAACAAAAAAATAAGGGACGTTTTTTTTTAAAAAATCTAATCTAATTAGATTCTAATTGCACTTTTAGAATGCAATACTTTTTTTGAAGAAAAGCGATTCTTTCTTCTCGAAGCGAATATCTGTTTATTACAGCTGATACTGTAATAAAAGTTGAATGGTTTGAAAGATATTTTATTTAGGAAGTACAACATCCCTTTGAAGAAAATCCGTTATTTCTCGAAGTGTCAAAAGTGTAAGAGATGTTTCTAAATTATTTTTTATAAATAAAATTTATTTGAACAAATTTTTAAAATTATTATAAAGTATCTTTCAAACCATTCAACTTTTATTACAGTATCAGCTGTAATAAACAGATATTCGCTTCGAGAAGAAAGAATCGCTTTTCTTCAAAAAAAGTATTGCATTCTAAAAGTGCTATTGTAAAAAAAAAACGTGGTTATTTGTTTTTGTCTAGAAAACATATTCATTATTCAAAATCAAAGAGGACATTTGCATGAATTTACTTTTAAGTCTCTTAATGGTAAAATCGGAAAAGCACATTTGCAATAGCCATGTGATTACCTCGTCTCTTCAAATCTGGATAATATTAATGATAGTTTTGTAATGATAGAGCACTAGTACTAGTATAGCAATAGCAGTAATTTATAGTAATAATGGTAGCCTATAGTAATAACAGTAGCCGTAGCTTGTGTATGTGTGTAACACCTCTCTAATTATGTTTGATTTAACGATCAAACAAAAACCAAAGCTGTCGCGTATACTTTTATACTTTCCGAAGAGAACCGATTGCTCCGATCGTCTTGCTATTCTCGATTAATCCGCGTTCCCTCAATAATTATCACGTTTAATTAAATTTACTGGCACTATTACGATGATAACAGTCGATGCTCTTCGGACGTTAGAGTTAATGGCTAGCTTAAAATAAGTTCCTAAATCATATAAACTATTAATCGGTTATACTTCACATGTTCTACAAGAAAATACGTGCTCTGTCACTCCTCTAAATGGTTATGCTCTCTCGCAGAATAGAGTTTGTATTCATTCTATTATGTGCCACACGTTTGTCTGCTAAAACTTCATGGATGAAAATATGATTAACGGCGACGACATAAAAAATAAACTTCCTCTTCTAATTATAATCAGTGTGGCAGGGGTGTGTGCATACATATATATATATATATATATATATATATATATATATATATATATATAGATGATAACAAAAGAACTAC